ACCTGTACAGAGTGGAAATAAAACGTTCAGCAGCATATAATAAATTTAGGCCGACATCGGTTCACCTGCCCGCGAACAAAGACAAAAGACGGTCATTGCCCGGGAAACAGTCGGCTTTGTTCTCAGAAATACTGCGACGATAAAACCTTTCCACTCTATAAAAAAAACCTCCCCCGCTAAACAACTTACAAATACGTTAGCTTGAACATAGCTTAACATTTGCCTTTATATACAAAGGCAAACAATAAATTAGCAAGAGCTCGACGAAAACTCACCTTCCTCCGTATCAGTCACCAACGGTCAGGTGAAGGAGGAAGTGACGTCAGTGACGCGGACTTTCTTAAAATTATTAACGATTTTTTATAAAAATAATAATAATAAAAAAAGAAAACTGTTACACAATAGATTAGGAAAAATATAAAATTAAGGATTTTTGGTGGAATGAATTTTCCACGCTACATTCACCTCCCCTGAATGACACCAAAATCCTGACTGCCCAACAAAACAGTTCTTCGCCAGACTGGGAAAACCAACACTTAGACAAAAGTAGGATGGGTTTGTCCTAAAGAATACTATCTTTAAAATCAACTCTAGAAGTTACCCGTTAACACAGGTCCAGAGAAATTTAAGGGTGATCAGGCCTCAAACTCTCACGGATCAGTATGGTGCCGAATACACCAAACCACCCATCTACTCATGCCCCCTGCCTCCATTCAATCGGAATAAGAACACAAAAACAACAAGAAAATAAAATTAACACAGACAAAAAACAAATAAACAAAAACAACCTTACTGAAACAGTGTAATTAGAGATTGTGATCTCCCACGAACTGAGTCGGCAAACTGACTAATACTGAATGGCTTCTGAACCATAGACTCTATCAGGCGGTCAACTTTTTTAACAACCCTACCAACTCGTGTTCTAACCCCATCTGGGTTTTCTGCTCTGCCAGAAGTGTCACCAGTCAAACCCTGACCCCCATCAACTTTTACTGTTTCTGTAGGTTCATCTATCAGGTTGCTGTCTGCTTGGGTCACAGTCGTGAGGTCAAGAGTCTCAATCTCAGATTCAAACTTGTCTAAGAACTCATGGCTCATGTCTAGTGGCTCTCCACTGCCACATCCTGTTTGGTCTCGACAAGGCTGACTTTGCCCTGGTACACAACTGCTGACATCCCTTGTTTCACTGGAAAGCCTTACATTCGTTGTGTCTCCTGAATCTCCATCATCCACTGAACCCAAGATTCCTTCTATAGAAGACTCGTCCCCAGTCTCATCAAAACTGCAGATTGTCTCGTTCATGTCGTCAAATGTGGGCTGGATAGGCAAGAAACTGACATCCAAGATGAGGTTTCGATGCACTACTTTTGTTTCCCCTTTCTCATCCTCTAGCTTGTAGATGTGTGTCTTTGGGTCCTTGTCTATGACTCTGTAGACTTTTGACTCCCACTTGTCAGCCAGCTTCTTCTTCCCTCTCTCTCCTTTGTTAGCAAGGAGGACCCTATCTCCTTTGTTCAGCTGAAATCCCTTGATCTTTTTGTTGTATTCCCTTTGCTGCTTATCCTGTTCCTGCCTGGTATGATTCTGAGCAATACGTGCTGCCTCTTTTAAATAGGACATTAGTGTCCTGGCATAACTGCCGTAATCAACCACCACTGGATCATGCAGGACCTGTTGAAACATGACATCAACAGGTAGTCTCGGAACACGGCCAAACATAAGATGAAAAGGAGCATAACCAGTCGTCTCATGTATTGTTGCATTGTATGCGAGTGTCAATGCTTGTATTTGCTGGGGCCATTTGGCTTTTTCTCTGAGGGGTAGGGAACGGAGCATATTCCCCAGAGTCCTATTGAACCTCTCGGTCCCACCATTTCCCATCGGGTGATATGCAGTGGTATGTGACTTGGATACGCCAGACAGCTTCAATAACTCTGTGATGAGTTCACTCTCAAAGTTGGCTCCCTGGTCAGTGTGAATCCTTTCTGGGAACCCATACACACAGAAGACATGGTCCCATAGCTTTCTTGCTACTTGTTTTGCCGTTTGGTTTGCACATGGGAAAGCATGAGCCAACTTTGTAAAATGATCTGTAACCACAAGAACATCCACAGATTGCTGTCGGTTGTTTTCTGCGCTCCAAAAGTCCAAACACACCAGTTCCATTGGGGCAGATGTCCTGATGCTTTCAAGTGGGGCTCTGGCGGAAGGCTCTGGTGTTTTAGCCAGTATGCATCTCTGACAACGCTTTACATAACTCCTGATCTGATGTTCCATCTTTGGCCAGTAGAAGCGCTGTCTCGCCAGATAGATTGTCCTTGCCTGGCCCTGATGGCCAGCTAAGTCATGCACCCCATGCAAAGCTTTCTCTTCCAGGCTTTTGGGTAAAACAAACTGATGTCTGCTTTGTTTGCTTAAAGGATCTTTGATTACTCTGTAAAGGACCCCATCTAAGACCTTGAGTCTCTCCCATTGCTTTACAAGAACAAGAGCCCCTGGGTTAAATCCCTCTCTTTCCCTTCTGGATGGCCTCCTTTTCCGACTCAGAAATGGCAGTATTTTAGAAATACTGAGGTCTTGTTCTTGACTCCGTTGAAGTTCTTCCAGGGAAAAAGCAGGTAATGGATCTAGTCCTGTTGTAGCAACCTGTTGGACAATCTGGACTAACTGAATTGCCCTAGACTCTGTGGACACATCCCACTGGTCATGTGCATCAATGATGGATTTTATAGCTGCATGACCTGGGGGCTTATGTGAATGAGACTTGGCAGTGTTGAACTGTGCCGCTCCTCCTACACAGTGACACTGGACTTTAAGACGGAAGACGTCTTGAATTCCCTGTTCACTAACACAATCAGACTCCACGAGAAGATCATCATAACACTCAGTGATGAGCCTATGACCGACTGTTTTGGCAAATGGATCTCTGCTAAGGGCGTCTGCCACAACATTCTTGGTGCCTGCAATATGCTTCAAGTCGAATGTGTATGGGGCGAGTTTGGCAACCCATCTCTGTTCACAAGCATCAAGCTTTGGCTTTGTCATAATATATGTTAATGGATTGTTATCTGTCCATACTGTGAAAGTGTTGCCCTTTAGCCAATGGCTAAATTTCTCACAAACACTCCACTTCAAAGCCAGAAATTCAAGTCGGTGAGCTGGATATCGTCTCTGAGATCCACTTAAGGTCTTACTTGCAAAAGCTATGGGTCTTGCTTTGCTTTCACCCTCCGGTATCTGTGACAACACAGCTCCAAGTCCATCTAGGGAAGCATCGATCGACAAGATTAAAGGACGCGAGAAATCAGGGTGAGCAAGAACCACACAACTCATCAGACTCTCTTTCAGTTTATCAAAAGCTGTGTCACACTCCTGTGTCCAGTCATCTGGTTTGAGCTTCCTATAGGTTCCTGCATTTGCTTTTACTTTTCCTCTTCTTTTCTGCCCTGCAGTTAGGGCAAAGAGTGGTTTAGCCAAAGAAGAGCAATTGGGGAGGAAGTGCTGGTAATAGAATACCATCCCCAGAAAAGATTTAATCCGTCGAACAGAAGGTGTACATGCATCTTCTTCCATCAGATCTGATGTTGACATTTGAGATATCACCTCAACCTTTGATGGATCTGCCGCTACACCATTTCCATCAATTACATGGCCCAGAAACTTCACAGAAGCTCGCATGAGGTGGCACT